GTTGAATGTCAAACTCGTTGAGCAAATCCCTCATGTAATTACGATCTTCGTCCTCAATATTACTGGAAGTGCTTGCTATGATCGTGCCTAGCGCAGTATATATGAGTAGATGGCCTAGTGCAGTATATATGAGATAGCTCTGATTGCTTTGCTAAAAGCATGCCCTGTCAGCATATGATCCACAGTATTAGTAGCGTAAGCTGTAGCCATCAACTCTTTTAATCCACTGTCATCCATGATAGTTCCAATGGCACCCAGGAATTACATGAGCATATGAAAACTACCCAATCTCGCAATAACACCTTTCATGTACACTCGCTCATTACCCAGCAGCGCCCGCGCCTTTATATACAGAGATTGATCAAAAGTAACAAAACATGTCTTCTGATTGCGCCTGAGGCATTCCACATGAGCATGATTCAAAACTATTAATTGTATCCAAATTTGACGGTGGCAAGCTGACAAATGGTAAGCACTGTACCCCAGCTATATGATACTCCGAGGTATGGCTCAAAGCTTCCCTATAGCCTCTCCAACTGGGAACACTGGGAATTTGCAAGCATTTTGCCCATATGTGAAGAGTATAAGCGGCTGTCAATTTATCACGAGTGCCGAGTAATAGTTCGGATACGTCAGAGAAAGTAATAGATTTTATATGATACGTGCGTGTAACCGCATGGGTTTCAGTTGACTATAGTCAACTGAGAAGTAGCGGGTTTCGAGCGCCTACCCACACTCAACTAAAATCCGAAATAACGCATGACGCGCATGCGCATCACCTATTAAAAGAGAATAACAAGTAAGGAAATCTAACCTCCGAATAGTGAATACATGGAATGACTGAAAAATGAAAAGGTGATTTTCGAAGCAGATAAAATGAGCCAAAATCGTATAATTCCTGATAGTGATGAAGAGTTAGGCAGTGAGGAGGATTTATTTACTGATGAGGAGGAGTTGATTGGTGATGTGTATCATATTTTTGTATCATATTTTTTTATAATTATAACTTTCTTTTTTTTGCGAATTCTTAACGATTTTTAAAAATTGTATTTTGTAATTATTATAATTAATTTTTTTCAATTAAAAATACTTTACAAGTTTTTTGAACTACATATTTAATGAATATAATTAATTTTTTCTTCAGAAGTTCCGCAGAATTTTTCAATCACACTTTTTTATAATTACTTTTTTAAATGAATGTGAACTTTCTTCTTCAGTGGGGGGGGGTCGCCCCCCCTAACTCCCCCACCGGGGGCTTCGCCCCCACAACTCCCACTCGCCCCCGCCCACTACCCCCAAACTTCATCACGCACGTATCATATAAAATAGTATACGCAACACGTGCGAACAATATGTAATGTACTATTAAATCGGTGTTTGTATTGTCCAATCTATCGCAATATACCACTAGAATATTGTACTTTCAACCCAACTCTTGAGTACTGACACTAGCTTTTGCAGTCACACAACAAATACCACCCATGATGTGGGACGTATTAAGTAAGTCCATCTAGAGTACACACATTGTGATCAGCATTATCGAACACGTGCTGAATGTATGCATCATCTTCAATCTTCTTATCATAATGCATAATAGTTGAAGCTTCATATAAACTGAGGTCGGTGTATGAAGCACAGAATCCAAGCTTATTCAACACGTCAATTATTACCTGAGACCCGAATTTCCTATTCAAATAGACACCAGTTGCAAGTTGGATCAACGAAATGAAGGACCTATGGGTCGAACAGCCGATAAAATTGAATGAACGATGCTGTCACGTTTTGTTTTCAGCTTCTTCTCTCGAGTTTTTTTCCCTTTCAATAGCACATCATCCAAGAAGGTTGTCAAAGTCTCTGGTATATCATCTTGGACATTCTCAAGTAGCTCTCCTGGAGGCGGATAAAATGAAGTTTCATATGTACGACTCCTGATATCCTCACGTACAATAGCTGCAGCAGCACGAACTACACGAAATCTCTCATCATCTTCCTTATCGGCCTTTTTCTCGTTCCAGAAATTCTCCAAAAGGTTGTAACCAGTATTGCGAAAACAGATAACTGTTGGTTGTGGCATAATGCAATCCAGCATTATGATTTCAGAGCCATATTTATTGATGAGTTTCTGCTTCAACGTGGTTGTGGATGTCGTCCAACCTTCCATTTTACCTAATAATTCCTTGAATGTAAATTGACAGTCATCACTCTCCTCATATAGCGACACACGCCTTCAAATGCAGCATCTGGACCTGGATACCTCTGCATTGGACCATCATTTTTGGTTGGGATATATCTGAACGAGTCGTAACAAGCTACATAGTACTGCGCTTTCATCTCCATCAAACATTTTCCATCGATTTCTTTCATCACCTTCCCAGACCATTCATCATTGCAGAGAAAAACGTAGTTTACAATAGTTTCCTGCATTTTTGGCGTACATACTTTTCTAGTATTTTTATGTTTTGAGCCCAGGACACTATGATACAGAAAATGGTGAGTCTCAAAAGAGAATAAGGGTCCAACAGGTGGCTCACGCACTGCACTATTTTTTTCGATAGGTTGTAACTCGACACCTTTCGTGAATTTTGACCTCAGTCATATTCTCCAAACACTTCCATTTATCGTTTTTTTAAAATTTACTCTTCGCAATTAACCCATTTATGCCTTTTTGCTTAACAACAATGGTCTTATTGCCATTATCCAATGGATCGTTACAAATAAAACAGTCCAGTGGATGCGACATATTTATCAGGACAAAACTATTCGTACACACTTCTGAATAGTTCGATGTTTCACCTTTGAACGTCACCAAGGAACTGAAATGGTTCGATATTTTTTGACTTAAGAAATCTGGTTATACGAGTGAAACAAGGCCTTGGATCGAGGCAGATGCAAGCACATCTGCTACTCAAAATGCGAGTGGGG